GAGGGTCGAGGGAAAGAGAGCCTGTGGGAGCAGGAGATCCCAGCTGGATCAAGAACAGAGAGGGAGAACAAAGAATAGGAGACCATGGCAAATGAAGACCACATGAGAACAGGAAGAAACAAAGTGCTAGAGAGGCCCACAGAAATCCACAAAGATACCCCCACTATAGACTGCTGGCAATGGTCGAGAGACATCCAGAACTGACCTACTCTGGTGATGGGATGGCCAAACACCCTAATAGTCTTGCCAGAAACCCCATCCAATGACTGAGGGATCTGGAAGACAAGTAAATGTGCAGTGACTGGGATACTGTTTTTAATAATCAATTATTCATCTTTCCCTTTATTCTGTTCTGTTTAAGAAATACAGACAGGTGTAAGTTCAAGGGGTGGATGACTCCACAGACACAGCATCTTCCAGAAACAATAGGATGGGTGCACATGTGAACTCACAGAGTATTGATGGCTGCATGCAAAAGATCTGCACAGGCTCAAACCAGACAAAATCCCTAGACTGAGAAGGGGACGGGAACACAAAGTCCCACTCCTAACTGAGAAACTATTTGCAGTTAATACCTGCTGGGAAGAAAAAAAATATCAGTTCTCTCTAATGAAGTACATTTTTACATTGCACATACTGTTTGATATTTTATGCATACATTTGTGAAATAAATTATAAAAATCAAGTCAGTTAGTTGAATCTACAATAGTATCTTCAAACAAACTTGGCCAAAAGTTTCTTGCTTTGACACCCATAACTCACAGGATATTGTTAAGTGCTACCAAGTGGTTTGTATGGTTTAAGGGATAATATCTCAGGGGAATGGTCTGCAACACAAGGAAATTCCTTTAGGATTTTTTCAAACCCTTTAACTGTGCTGTGTGGACATAAGTAGCACAGATCTTAGATCATCTCTGAATTTTTTTCCTCTGAACACAAGATACTGACTTAGCCATAAATTTTCAGACCTCCACCATAATGCCAGTGCTTCAGCTATGAAAATTTCCTAGGTATTCAAGGTAAGAGAGATATTCTAACACTTTTACTAAAGGTTTTTTATAGTAAAAACAGACTTACTTCTCTGAAATCTTATCATCTTTATGCTCTAAATAATACTCCATAATAGTATTAGCTCTACACATACCTGAATGGTATCTGAAAGAAGAATCAGGCCTAGAACAATAATTAATCTGACTTTTCAATGGGATAACTTCAGCCTCTACAGGAGAGATCACAAAATAGTCTATAATACCACAGGCACATACACTGAAAGTTATTTCTACTTTACTTAACTAGATGAATTGTTTTTATTTATTACAGCAATGAAATTTCTCCTGAATCCCACTTGATGCTTTGGTTAGGGAAAAACAAATCTATTTTGACCATCAAGTTAGTATGAATAGTCTATAAATTTGAGTGAAACAGAGTTTTAAAGCAAAACAAAATTTATTTTCTGAACTTCTCTGAGAATTTGTTTTTTTTCTAAGTATTAAAAATGAAGTTTAATGATAAGTTCATTTTATTAGCATATTTGCCAGAAAAAAAAACTATATGTTTTGAGGCAAAAGGAAGAAATTTAAAGGAACATACCTTTCTTATAAAAGTGGATTTTTCAACTTTCCTTGTAGACTCTTCTTAAGGCAATGATTATATGTGCAAAGTAGAGTTCACTCAAGATTATGACAAGAATACAATAACAAGGTCTCCGATTTCAGGATCCCAGGATTTGTATCTAGGATTGGAATTACATCTGCTTTCTTCCATTGCCTATTATATTTCCTTTCACAGATAAATTAGTCAGAAAATTTTTCAGATATATTTACAAAAATAAAATAGTGAATAATATGTACCAGATATTGGGGATTTAATTAAACAAGGGTGATATGTGAAATAATACAGAAAATGAAATTACTTAGGTCTATTAAACTAAATTAATTTTTTTTTTGTTAGTGTTGCTTCGGAAATGTCCCCTACCAAAAGAAGAAGGAGGAGGAGCAGAAAATATCTGGAAAAAAAACACAACTGGAATAATGCTATAGGCAGAGTTATTGTTTAAGATAAACAAGACTGATAATTTAGAAACATTTATTGCTTCAATCTAAGGTGATTTTATTGTCCCACAGGCCTTAGTCTGTTGTGATATTTTTGCCATCTCTAATACATATTAATTTAACTTTGGTTTATTACTAATAGATGAATATTTTACCATTTACTTATTCTGACACAAATTCACATGCATTCAGGCTTGCCTTCACTTATTACGTGACCAAGAATGACCTTGAACTTTTGATTCCCTACTTCCAGCTCTGAGGTGCTGCAATGACAGGCATACGACATGATGCCTTATTGGTGGGGCACTGAGGGTAAATCCACAGCTTCATGCACAGTAAACACTAATTCTATCAACTGAGCTATATCACATACTTCTATGGTCCTTTTTAAAGATTCCCTCCTCTAAAACAACATATAATAACACCATTGTTATATTGCATGGTAATTGATATAAATGTATTTTAAGGAACTCAAAAAAGGAACAATGGAATTATTTTAGGACAATGGACAAAATCTAGGTACACTAGTATTGCCTGATATCTTTATACACAAGCAGAAAGATAATCCTTTTCTACTTTAAGTACCCATCAAGATAATTAAAGCATTCCTGTAAATTTCAAAAATTGACTCTTTAGGAATAAAAGAAACTACAAAAGTACAGGAGCTATATTCCAGAGACAGCAGGTGATGTTTGTAGAAGAAATTATTCTGCTGTACAAATTTGTTATTTTTTATTATTATTATTATTATTATTATTATTATTATTATTGGAAAATGATATTCACACAGTTGCAACCTTATGCCTTTCTCATTTTTCAACAGAGTAGCTGAAGATGACTGAGAACAACTACTCATTGACAACAGAGTTCATCCTGGTGGGATTCTCAGATCACCCAGACCTGAAGATCCTTCTATTCCTGGTGTTCTTTGCCATCTATCTGGTGACCATGGTGGGGAATCTCGGACTGGTGGTCTTGATCTACATGGAACGCCGTCTTCACACACCCATGTACATCTTTCTAGGCAACTTGGCTCTCATGGATTCCTGCTGCTCCTGCGCCATCACTCCCAAGATGCTAGAGAATTTCTTTTCTGTGGACAGAAGCATTTCTCTCTATGAATGCATGGCACAGTTCTATTTTCTCTGTCTGGCTGAAACTGCAGACTGCTTTCTTCTGGCAGCAATGGCCTATGATCGTTATGTGGCCATATGCAACCCACTACAGTACCACACCATGATGTCCAAGAAGCTCTGCCTTCAGATGACCACAGGAGCCTACATAGGAGGAAACCTACATTCCATGATTCACATAGGGTTCATGTTCAGGTTAACTTTCTGTAGATCTCATGTGATCAAACACTTTTTTTGTGATGTTCTTCCATTATATAGACTCTCATGTGCTGACCCCTATATCAATGAATTGATGATACTCATCTTTTCAGGATCAGTTCAAGTATTTTCCATTACTATAGTCCTGATATCTTATTTCTGTATCCTTTTTACTATATTCACAATGAAGTCCAAAGAGGGAAGAAGCAAGGCCTTATCTACTTGTGCTTCTCACTTTTTGTCTGTGTCAATTTTCTATGGTTCTCTTCTCTACATGTATATTCGACCAAATTCATTTAAAAAAGGAGATGAAGATATACCTGTTGCTATTTTTTATACTCTAATAATTCCTTTATTAAACCCTTTTATTTATAGCCTGAGGAATAAGGAAGTAATAAATGTGATTAAAAGAACCATGAAGAAGAATTGATTTTGTAACATTGTGAAACAAGTATCTTCTCCCTCAAAGAATTTATTTTGATCTAGATATTACAATTCTACAAAACTATAGGTCCAGGGAAAGTAGAAAATGACACAAAGAATAAATGTTAACTTATTTAAATGTAAATTTGATTCAAACAATTGACAGTTTGAATGAATCAAATTATTTTGAAAATAAATATTCTGCTAAAATTTACTTCTAATATCTAAGGAACTGGGACCAATTTGAACTGTTAGGATTGTTCATGAATGTGACAGTTTTCAAAAATATCCAACAAAATTAAAGGATAAAATTTAGTATACATAAGGTAATCTTCACTGTTATCAAATTCTTGATCCCAAAACATAATCAGCATAAATCTCAGGAAAATCAAGTTCCCCAATATGAATCCTTTTTTCAATAACACCATTGTTGGGCATTAACTTCATATTTGTATGTGATTTTTTTTATCTGACTTTAGATATTTAAGATACTATGCATGAACATTCATTTATATAGAGTGTGTGGTCTCTCAGTAAGAGCATTTCATATTTGGTATGTACAATTTCACTCTCAATCTATGAAGTAGACTATTTGTATTCTGGAGGATTGCTAACATGTAGTTTAAAATGATGCTCTTGATGATAAAATTTCTAAGAAACTTATTTTTATGTGATTCTTTATTTGTTCATCAATATGGCATTCCATTTATTTTACGTAATCATTAACAAAGTTTTCTGCTCTGATCAATGATTTTTTTGTTTCTGTGATTAAGACAACAAAAACTGGCACTGAAAATTGGTATGTTCATAGCATATGTACAAGACAGTGATATCACGTTCAAGTAATTTGTAAGGTAGGAAATTAGTGGGTTGATATAAACTACAGTATTTAGTTTCAAACAATTTTGCAAATATAAAATAAAATAGCTTCCCGCAAACATCGTGTCTGCCAGACATTATGTGAGGCTTTTCATACATCCAAAGACCAAGCAATTAGTTTTTGGTTTTTGGTTTTTTTTTTTTTTTTTGGTGTTTTTCTAGAATAAAAACTTATATTTGGAATTACTGAATAGCTTGTTCAAGCTCATCCCAGCAAGCACAATACATCTCAGATCTGAGTTAATACTATGCTTCCCCCATGTGCTTGTGTCTCAGCAAATAGAGGTTATATACCTCTAATGTTTAGTTATTACATAAGGTCAGATTTAAACTGTACCTTAAAAGTGAAAAAAGATCATATTTTCAATGAAACAGAAGTTAGAGTCGAGTCTATGTTTATAGAAATGAGTGTGACAGTGTGGTGGGTAGCCATTCCAGCTTTGACCTGGAAGCTCCAACCCCCATTGAGGCTCCGGTAATGGTCACACGCACAAGGTGGGGCTGAGAGAGGAAGCTGAAGACCTGGGTTCCAGATGCGCAGGCTCTCTTAGTTCCTGGATCCTGGACACTGGAGGGAGACAGAGCAGAGTTCTCCAGAAAACACCACCAGACTGCATCACGCCTTTCCCAGACTCTGTAAATTTTCCATTCACTTGTAAGTTACCCCACAAAATCAACCTCCCTTTTAACTACGTGCCTTAATAATTTCACCAATATGAGAGTGGGAGACGGATTTGGGAAAACTGGAATAAGGCTAACAAAGGATCAAACATTGGAGAGGTCTGGGACGTGGGGTAGAAGTAGATCAGCTTACTGAGATCCTTCAGTGGTGCCCTCTGGATCTAAACTCAATCAGAAGCACCAGTTACGGAGTCTTCCTAGAAACAGGGTAAGATGATTGTATCTCTCAAGGTATTGATCTGACAGAGGATTTAATTGGAAAGAAATTGGAATGAGACAAACTTTAAGAATTCCCTTATTGGGAGATGAGAGTGGAACTTGACAGCAGTCAAACAAAGGAGAGGAACACCTCCAAGATACATGGCATTTTAGAGAACAGTAAGTCAAATTTTGCCATTGTAGAACAATGAAATGGAGTCTCTGTCTATTCCTGGCTAAGCCTACAAACATTGTATTCCCAAATCAGTGCCCCAAACTTCCCAAACCCCTGACACAGCTCAGCTTGTAAAACTCCTAAACACAATTACTGAACAAAGAGAGGTAAAGATAACATGAAAGGCTGAAAGAAGGGAAACTGATATGAACAAAAGGAAGGGAGGCAGGTTGTGGGAAATGAATTATGTGGTCTGTGCCTTTAAGAACTAGCCTCACAAAGAAAGGGGAGAGCTCCTTCCAGCCTCACTGCTGCAAGTGAGAGTTTTGGAAGGAGCCTCACTGCCAAGGCTTGTAAACTTAGAATAAACCTTGCTTTTGCATTCTGTACCTAAAGTCTCAGGTGGCCTCTTTGGGGACGCAATCTGGGCACAACATCATAACCTGTAATTACATTGACCTGCACAAATACATATATATTAGAAGCTAGGATCCACAGAAGAGAGAGACTGTGGGCTGGGGAGATGGCTCAGTAAGAATGCTTACACAAACCTAAGGAATGAGTAGGAATCACCACACTCACACGAAGACCTGAGCATGGGCACATGCTCCTATAACACAGTGCTTGTAGGCAAGTGGCAAGAACAAGTGGGACTCTGGGGTTTGTTAGTTGCCAGCTTAGTTCCAGCTGCAGTGACAGACCCTTTCTTAAGGGAATATGGTGAAGAGTGATGATCAGGACACCTGATGTCCTCCAATGGCTTCTGGCAGAGAGTATACTGTATATAAACATGTGCATATATCATTATATACACATGAACCCATATATACCCAGAGTCATGAGAGAGAGAGAGAGAGAGAGAGAGAGAGAGAGAGAGAGAGAGAGAGAGAGAGATACAGGCAGACAGACAGAGAGAGACAGAAACAAAAACAGAGACAGACACAGAAAGAGAGACAAAGGGAAGGGCAGAACATGTGATGTTTTTCTTTCTGATCCTAAGTTACAGCTTATGATATTTTCTAGTCATGAATTTTCTGAAAATTTCTTATTTTTCTTTAGCTCACTAAAGTTCTACTGGGTATATGTAAAGCAATGTCATTGTCCTCTCATCTGCTGATGGACATCTAGGCTGATTCCACTTCCTTGAGATTATGAATAGAGCTGCAAATAAACATGGTTGTGCAAGTATCTCTGTGGTAGCATGGGTAGTCATCTAGGCAAATGTCCAGGAGTGCTGTAGCTGGGCCATATGATAGTTCTATGACCAGTATTGGCAAAAATCTTCACATTATGTTTCATGATGACTGCACCTGTTTACACTACCATAGAGAAAAGAGCTTCCTCATTTACCAATTCTATAACAGGATTTGTTGTCTCTTGACATCTTTTTTTTTTTGTAACTTGACTTCTTAATGATAGCCATTCTGACTGAATCAAAGTGTAATCTCAAAATGACTTTAATTTGTATTTCTCTTAAGTGCGAAGATAATTGAATACTTTTTTAAATTTATTGGCTATTGTATATCCTTTTCCCTTTTCTTTTCTTTTCTTTTTTTGTTTATTTTGTTTTGTTTGTGAAGACAGATTTCCTCTGTTTAGCCTGGCTGTCCTGGAACTTACTGTGTAGACCAGGCTGGCCTTGAACTCACAGAGATTCTCCTGCCACTGCCTCAAAGTGCTGGGATGAAAAGTGGGCACCACCACTGCCCAGCTGTGTCATCTTTTGAAGACTGTCTGTTCATTCATTAGCCAACATATTGCTTGGAAGTTTTGTTTTCTTGGGCTTTAATGCTAGCAGTGTCACATATGATCCACCTAAAGATTTTTCTCCTTTTGTGGAGAATGTTCACCATACTGATATTTCCTATGGCTGTGAAGAAAATGTTTAATTTCATAAGGTCCAATGTGTAAATGTTTGGAGCTATTGCTTATATTATTGGGTTCTAATCAGAAAGAACATTATTCCCTTTTAATAACATTTATTTGGCATATATTTGTCAAATATGGTGTAAGGTTTCATATGGACATTTTCATACCAGTGTAAAAGACACATTGAAAATATTCTACTCCATTTCTCCCCTCCCTTTTCTGCCTGAGTCCCTATGGTTAGTTCTCTTTGATCCTCAGTTTCATTTCCACCTTCATGTCATGTACACATACAGGATAGTTTTAACTTAGTCCTCATGTACATACCTTGGAATAGAAGAAATGCACCATATTATAGACCTATTTTGAGTTTTTTAAAGGAAACTTGCAACTGCTTTACATAGTGCCTGGACTAGTTTGCATTCCCATCCTTAGTATAACAGGGTTCCCCCTTTGTCTATATTCTTACCAGCTTTTGTTGTTATGTGTTTCTTAGTGATAGCCATTCTGACTGAAGTAATTGAAATGTCGATTTGTACTTCTCTGATGACTAGTAAGGTTGAATTTTTTTTTTGCTTATTTACTATTAATGTGGGGATGGGTGGGCATGTGTCTGCTACATTGTGAGATCAGAGAACAGCTTTCCAGAGCAGGTTCTCTCCCTCCACAATGTGATCTGGGGATGAAACTGAAGCACATATCCGAAGAGATTTTTTACCCACTGAGCCATCTTACCAACCCAAACATCTTTTCATAAGATTAATGGACACTTAGATAAGTATCACAGCTCAGGTGGAAGGAATTCTGGCAGCCTGGAGCCAAGGAATACCATAAAGACACACAGCACAACAAGCCTCATACAAGAGATTTATTGGGAGGGAAATAACAGGAGGGTGGCTGCCTCTGCAGGGGCAAGAAACAGCAGCACACTGAACAGGACACAGGGCTTATAGAGAGTTTCTTGGGAAGGGAATGGAGCTTCTCACGGTGGAGCTTCCCAGGGTGGAGACTGGTGGGATTTCATGTCCAGAGATTGGACTTTTTACTCTGTAGAATGGGGACAGGGTCCAGCACTTAGGGCAGTTGCAGTATTCTGTGTTGGGAACCTGGCAGTTGGAGGTCCTTGGGGGAGGGGCCTGGCCACTCATGTGGCTCCAGGGACTTACAATTCATATTCATTTTTTTTTGAGAATTATCTATTCATTTCATTAGCAGTTTTATTTATGGGATGGTTCGATGCCTTGCTGTTTAGGTTTTGTTTTTGAATTCTTTGCATATTCTGTCAGAGGTAGAGCTAACACAGATTTTTCCCATACTGTGAGCTGCCCTTTCACTCAATTGTTCCCTTTGTTGTGCCATTGGGTTTTTGTTTTGTTTTGTTTTGTTTTAATTTCATCAAGTCCTGCTTGTCAATTAATGGCATTATTTCCTTAGTGGCTACGGTCTTAGGCAAAAGATCTAATCAGGCCTACATCTTAAAATGTTTCCCGAAATTTTCTTCTAACAGTTTCAAATTTTCAAGTCTTATATTAAGGCCTTTGGCCAATTTGGAGTTGATTTTTGTACGATGTGAGATGTGGGCCTCTAGTTTCATTATTCTATTTGTGGTTATTCAATTTTCTCATCATTTGCTGAAGAGAGGCCATCTTCAAAGCATACTTTTTAATATCTTTGTCAAAACTCAGATTGCTGCAGCTGTATGTTTATAACTTGGTTCACTATTCTATTCCTCCGATTCATGATTCGATTTTTAAGCCAATACCATGCTGTTTCTGATGGCCCTCCTAAAACTACAAATCAGATATGGTGACACTAGCAGCCCTGCTC